CAGATGCAGATTAAGCTTTTTCCGACAGAAATGACAGCAGATAATCGTCGACTTCCTGAAAATATTCAACGATTCATCAAAAGCAAAAAATGAATCATAAGCAAAAATTTCTCAACTAACGTTGAGTGGTCAGTTGTTCCGACGATTAGGATGATGATCGTGAAAATAAAATGCAAACGGGGTCACCTCCCTCCCCTTCCTTTCCTGCCCCTTATGTCTGAGGGCTATTCAAGAAAAAAAAGGATTAATTTATTGGCAACGGCTGATTCTCGCCCTGTCCCTCTGCGTAGGCTCCAGCAAAAGCTTCCATTCTTTTAAACGAAAACAACGATTCCTACGGCATTGTCTAACATAAATGCTAGCAAACAATCAGATTCTCCGTCAGATAAGCAAAATAAAATGAGCAAGTAGAGTTCAGATGGGAATCTTGCCCTCTTATAGTGAACAGTGAGCAGAACCTAGGCGGAAGTAAACGACCAGCGATTTTATGCAATAAAACTCATACATTCGGTGGCAGGGAGGAGTAATGCGCAATGAATCGAGCGGCTGGCATAATGCTCGGTTGTTTCGCAGCTCCACGAGTGGTAAGTATCACCGTTGAAACATATGTGCCACACAAAACAAAGAATTCGTGTATGGCATTGAATTGCAGTAGAATGCAAGCGAAACCCGCACAAAATGCTGATATGTCCGTAGAATCGGCCTTTTTTGGCACTGAAAATATAAGATTAATTCGAACAACTTCCCATCACTAAGTTTTCATTTCTTCTACATTCACTGGGCTAATAGTTTAACGAAAGAAGAGACACCCCAATGCTTCGTTTTTTTGGGTAAATTATCAATAATCAAAGAAGTGTGGGCTGGAAGAGAATACAATTTAAAGTTAAACGTTATACAACGAACTTAGAAAGGGGAACATTTTAGTCAAAATCCGATGAGGTCCAGTTGTGGTACTAAAAAGAAATGTATACGACTTGATGGACCGAAACATTTCTCTCCACCTGTCCTTTTATAGTTTTCATATAAAATTTTATTTTTATAAAATTTTCAAATTAAGTCCCTGTTCATGGTTTTTCCTTAAAAATCATTTCTGAGAAATATTCCTATAAAAATTTTCCAAATAATGACTTGTGTCTTTTTCATGTCTTCTAATAGTCTTTTCATCTTTCTTTGATTAAAACACACAAGCACTGGACGTTTGACTGCTCCCAACATGTTTGCCCTAATCAATCATTCGCCTAGTCGGTGAAGTACCTCAACGTGGTTTAGAAGTGGCAACTTTCAGGACAAGTTGGTGAGATTAAGCATAGGTTCACGGCATCTCGAAACACTGAAATCCTACCGAGGGCTTGCATCGGAAAAAAAATCGCTGAGCCGGTACTCCCTACAGGAGGAGAAACAAACGCTAAGATCCCCAATAAGCTGGTTACAAGGCGATGGAACAATATTCGGAACAAGCAAAAAGTTTCCTCTAGCTGGAGGGTAAAACCGAGTTATCAGCTGCTCTAGGCATACTACTGATCCAGTCACAGATGAAAAAATTGCTTATAAGAGGACGACTGAGAAAAAATTCTATAAGCTTGAAACAGCCAAAATGTTGCTGTATTTCATGCAAAATGCATGTAGTAATCTACATGAAATTTGCATGAAATACAGCAATTCATTTCTAACAGCTCAGTGATAAAGTCTAATTCCGAAAGCCTCTACCAAGAAAAACTCATTGACAATAATTAGTAACAAACCGTTAAATTTGCTCGTAGCTGCCAGAAGCATAAGAAACATCGCCGGCTTTAACAGCTGTGGTGCTTCTCTTTTTATGTACACCTACAAAAAATACTTCAATCATCATTCAAGCACACTGCACTCTCTTACAAAATGAGTTTTAAAATAATTGAACTAGTTATCTATCTAAGACTTTGCTTTTATTCTCTTTCATAATTGACTAGCAGATGATCTATTTTCGGCTCTTTTGGAACTAGAGGGCACGAATTTTAAGTCAAAAAAGCAGGCAGTTCGTCAGTATTGATTTCAGTTTATGCTCTTACCCGACCTCATTAATGCGTTTGGTAGCTTTCAATACAGCTAAAGCTGGGTTAACTATGGCCATTTTAGCAATGAGCTCGAATTTTTTTCTATCTCCCTCGGCCAGTTACTTGTTGTCTTAGCTTATGCACCAACAAATCTTCGCTGTTTTCCAAAATATTTCTAAAAAGTGTAACAAAAACAATAAACCTTAATGAAAGGATCGCTTATGGCACAGCGTTCAAGTAGCACAGACAATTCCCTCAGAAGCGTCGCATCACATTCACCATTATGAGCACCAACATCGTTCATAACACCTCTAAAATATTCTATCACGATAAACTTGCTTCAGATTGGCTCAAAAAAAAGACCTCTTTCCGGTAAAAAAGGGGATTCCAGGGACCCATGGACTGCACACTTACTCGTTCAGTGTTGCAACGGCGTTGAAAATATTTGATGATTGCTGTCGTAGTACTGACTGGCTTTGAGTGAGTAACTGTTGGCGGAGCAGCTGCAGCTGACCAATCTGAATATGCAAATTAAATGTAAACTGTCTTATAATAGATCAAGCAATAAGTGATGGTTTTTGTCAAAAGTAGGTTAAAGAACAACTGCATTACTATGACGCAATACTCCTGTTCCCGGCTCAAACTTTGGACACCCCGTCTTCGTTAAACTTTTGCTATCTTAGTAATCTTTGACCCCCCGAGGTATAAAAGCACTCCCCATCGCCGGGACAGCCACTACCCATCAACCACTCTCGACCTATTTATTAACTTTTACTCCTGCTCTAGAGGGCCTCGGCTCCCCAGGACCTCACCAGCTTTTTCTGTATTACCTTTTAATATTCAGTGCAGTTATAAATATGTATATATGACTAGGCGTTTTACACACACACACACACACACACACACACACATACTTTACACGCAGGGCATAAGGCTAAAATATTAATTGTTAGGCTCGCGATAAAACAAATTGAGAAAATTTAAAATTTATTTGCCAGAGTATTTCTAATACGTCTCCTGCTACTTCGTCATCCTTTAAGGTCAGCTCAATCTGACCATCAGATGGTGTAGTACTGGTCAAATCGAACTGACCAGTTTACCAGTCCATATTCTATATATACCATGCACTAGAAACATCAGAAGAAAAGTTTTTTTAAACAAATTCTCACAATAATTAAGGCAAAACGAGCAGCAAAAAATATTTTTCAACATTTGAAGATGTTTTAAATACGATTAAACCTGCTCAGTCAATACCAAAAACAAACTTATGATCACTGCATCAAGAACCAACCTTGCTGATAATACCGATAAAACGCGATGAAATCGGTGAAAATTTTGCCAAAGCATTATCAAAAATTTTTGATCTTGTACCAAGTGTCATCGTATCGATCGAAGCAATTTCGTTTAATACTGTATTCATCATTGGGCCCACCAACTGAGATTGCAGCTCACAGAACACATATAAATTTTTCACAATATTAAATGATGCAATGCGATCCAATGCGTACAGTACCATTGGTGAAAGTGCTTCCTAAAAAAATAGGGAAATTATGTCAATTCGAATGAGTTAGCGAGCGAAAATCTGATCTTATCATTTTCAGGGATTAGAAATAAGTAACACATTTTCGACGCACAAATCCCCATAACAATCTAAATTTTTCGGCAACTAACCTGCAACAATTCAGAAAAAAGGGAACTAAGTTAAGTGTTGCGAAATATAAGGTCACTGGCATATTGTAGATAAAAATATGATTTAGCAATCTGTGTTTCATCCCCAAGTTGTAAACATGGGCAAAATAATGGGCAAAAGTTCAAGTGCGATCCATTACAACGAACATAGGAAAGCAAATGAGATTTACGGAATTGTTAGGGGTTCTTTTTATCTCCTGTTTTAACCCAAAAACTGAAATACAGAAGATGAGAATAACAGGTTTTTTTGCTCGTTTCTGAAGATGACCATAAAATCCCGCTTGCTTGTAAAAGTTTATGTAAAATGCAAGTGCACGCAAGCAGTAAAGAATAAAAATTCAAGTTCTACGCCAGAAGGCGGATGAATATCATAAAACAAGATTTCCTGAAATGTAAATTTTGTTGGCCAAAGCAAAAAAATAAAAACTCTGAAAGTAATACTTCTTGAAGGTCAAAAAGCTTTTGTCTTTTAGCCATAAAATTCAGTTACCTGCAAAATGTTTAACGATTCTTTTGATAATACAGTTTTCTTCGTCTTTGAATCGCACCATATTCCCATCGAATTGACAAAATATGATGACCTGAAAGCGCTTTTCGGCTTGTCCAAAATTCAACTTGCGACTTTCTAGAAGAAATTATAACAAGATTCACAGTTACAGCCCAAACTACACTTCCTGGAATACCCAGAACAGTAGTTAAACAACAGGTCCTTCATTTATGCGGCTGACAGCTTTTCTTATTATTCTGACCAAAGCTGCAACGCCTAGCGGTCAGTTTGCTGGCGATCCTAACATCCGTTAAGTGTCGTTTTCTAATCGGTAAAACCTTATGCATGAGTTTTCAGCACGCTGGGTAAGACCTCATGTTAATTCTTCGACAAATCGAGAAACATTTTTTAGCAAAATAAAATCCGAAAACTTAATTTTAATCAAATTTGCAAATTGAAAACCATTGGATTATTCTGTCCAAAAAAATTTTTCACACAGATTTTAAACGTTAATACAACTTTACTCACATCAGAAAAATCTGCTAACAAAATAAGTTCAGCTGTACCTGGGATCCGAAGCATTCAGGATTCGTTCAAACAGAAGGCGCATTAAAGTTCGTGATCCCTCAACCATTGCAATATTTGGTATCGGAGCTGATCTGGACTGATACAAACTTTCTTCTTCACTAATCTGCAAGAATATTTCATCTGAATTAACGTCGAATCTGTACTTTAAAGCTCAAAAAAAGTTCGATGAATGGAACAGTGATAATAAAGAGACATTGAGATTGAAAAGAAATAATGCGGTCTTATAGCCAGCCTCAACTATGATAAGCTAAAACGAAGCCAAAGATGGATCCTCTGTTGTGGCGATATTTGTAATGAAGACTCAAATTTGTTCGCTAGTCCATCAACTTCTTTT